AAACAAAACAAAAACAAGTACGTTTCTTGTTCATACTTGGAACAAAAAAACATAAATAAGAAGCTAACTATAATGCATGGTTTAAATTAAGCATAAAATTATCTAAGGCTGTCTTCCCAAACATGCTTACTTTAAAAGGATGTTCCGTTTAGATGAGCAGGACTAACTTCCAAGTTAATGTTCTTAGGCTCACGTTAATCATGTTGCTTTCATCATTTCTACATTTGAGTGCCTCCCAAGCTTTAAAATAATTATAAACTCTCTTTTCCTTTCATCTTCTATTGTAATAGAACCTGTCATGTACAATGATGAAGAGTCATAGAAGGAGTCACCTACTCCTAGTACTGAACAAGCAGTTTAGCCAGAATAAAGAAAACATTTTCATCCCTACAGTTAATAAATCCACTTCTCTCAGCAGCAACGAAGAACATTTTGGACCCTCAGGACTGCAAACTGCTACAGCTACAATGTGATCCTTTGGTCTGCTGCAAAGAGATCTGGGCACATAGGACTTAGTGTCAGTCCCCACTTGTCAGTGCATGGGAGAAGCGTTTCCTTCTTTTGGGTTAGGGTCCAGCCCATGTACCACTTGAGTTCAGCTCAGCCATGACTAAGCCATGCTGGACAAGAAGCTTTGATGGGAGAGGCAAGGCTGTTCACTGCTGAGCAAGAAGGATTAACACTGACAGGCATAGTAGAGCAGAGTGAGTCTACCTCCATCCATACAGCACAAGATGATGCATGCCAGCGTTCTTCAAACTGGCACCCTCCAGATGTGCTGGATTTCAAGTCCAGTAATCTACAACCCCAGGTAATATGGATTGTAGTCCAGCATACTTTCCCACACTTTCAGGTAGGGAAAGAGAGATGTGTTTGACCTTTGTACCACCCATGTACACAGCATTTTGTGAAGGCTGGGTGACCTCCATTCTACACAAACGTGTTGCAGATCAAAGAGGAAAAGAGAAAAAGGCAGGGGTGGTGGTGAAAATAAGCAATTCTGGTTACTTCAGTTCATACTAGTGTACAATATTAAGTAACACTCATTATGGGCAATGGAATCCTTCTGGATTGTCTAAAAGACCTTGAAAGTTTCTTCTCATTTACTTTGAACAACATCCTAAAATGAGTTTTTTTTTTCCTGCCAGAGTGGACATTGTTGAATTATGAGAGAGTAGGTGCTATTGATGATTCTGCTCCTGACACACATAAACAGACTGTATCAAAAGACTCTTTTTAAAGGCCCCAATTGTATCTCTGCCAAATATATTATTCCTTCCAAACCCCTCCCTTAGATGGCTGCCTCCAACTAAATGCCATTCACTGATTGCACTGAATATATTTGCCATCTCTCTATAAATGGAAGCTCTACTGCTAAATTGTCAAGAATTGAGAGTGAATGTAGGAAAATTGCCAGAGGTAATAAAATGAATGAAATTAACACACCCTCTGACAAGATGACACCCTGACAATTTAATTGCTGTATCCCAACTGTAATTAACGTAGTAAAACACACAGCATCTAAAAGCAGCTATGAACTTGTGAAAAGGATGGGTTAAACCTGGTTACAAGGAAATCACAGAGTTTTAAATACATGGGTCATTTTCACATGTGAACACCGAATTTATGGGATACAGTAAACTGGTGTGAAGAATGTGTGACCTCCCAGATGTTGCTGAACTCTGTCAACCTCATCCACCCATAGCCAATGGTCAGGGATAATGGGCTTTGTCAAGCAGCATCATCTGGAGGGTAACAGGTTCCCCACCACTGTACTGATGGTTTGGACACAGCATACTTCCATACCTTTGTTCCACCTTGTTCTTCAACAGCTATAAAATGCCCTCTCTAAAATGCATATGTATGTGCTAAATTGGTCCCACGGGGTTCATACTGAAGCATATTAAGGGGCTGCCCCTCAATTTTGGGATTATCTTGCTCAAGATCTTTGTCAAAGGCTGAGACCAAATGTCTTCTGGAAATGAAACAAGATTATTTTAGTTGGTTTTTTGTGGTGAGAGGTAAGTATGAACAGAGTAGAATGATAATATAATTATCTGCCCTAAATCCTTGAGATTAGGTGGCCTGCAAGGTCAGCAAACAAAGAAGCAGAAAGATTGGGACAACTGCCAAAGGTAGGCACCTGAGAGGAGTCCCTGATGACAGCCCCCAAAGCTGTTCCTCCGCTTCACCTTTGCAACCTGCCTCCCACTCTTGCCCAGTTTTAGGTTGGTGGCGGTGAGAAGTAGATGCCTCTGCTTGCTTGCTCACTAACTCTTGTGCCTGTCAAACAAGCAAGAAATAGAAATGGTGTGAAAGAAGATCAGTAGCAACAGCAGCATATGATCATGGTGTTGAGAAGAATTCACTCAGGGGTACTGGATGTGCCACTAGTTTACTGGAGCTTTCAATGAGGAATAACACATTTATGGGCCACAGGTTCATCAGCAGCTATTGTGCATGATCACGGAATGGAATCTTTTTGTTCAGAAGCAGGAAGCCTCTGATGACCAGCAGCTAGGACCAAGCAGCAAAGAATGTGTGTCTTGGTCAAGCCCTGGGGGCATCTAGCTCAGTGATGCTAGAGACCAAATACTAGATCACTGGTCTGATCCAGAAAGACTTTTCTTATGAATATGAATGCTGTTAATGCAGGGTAGAAAACTATCAAATACAAATCGAATGTTCTATTTTGCTAAAGTAGATTAAGCTTCACATGTAAAAATGCCTATAAGCTATGGCTGAAAGAACAGCAAACAGGGAAGCAATGAACTAATTAAGGAGTCTGTGGAAAGGGCAGGGTGAGAATAACAGAGTTAAGGTAACACCCCTCCTACTTAATATGTCTTCTCAAATTAATGTCCAGCTCCAGGCATGGCTGCAAAAATAAATGGCAATTTATTTAACTAAACAAATATGGTACTTGGCCACATGGAAGGACTATCTAGTCTATTTTACAGGATTTGGACCTTGTGCTTACTTCTAGGTTGCCTGATCAGCTTTGTCCTCCCTTCTGAGGCAGTTAAGGTCAACAGCTGCTTAATTCAGTGTTAGCGTCGACATTTATTTTTAAACTGGTCTGTTCAAAACTGCACAGTTAAAAAAGGAGGAAACATGCTGCCAAAAAGTTTAGCATGAGGTTTTAAAAATGCAATGAAGGCTTCTGAAGTAAAAAACTTGCAATGTACAATGGCACATAATATTGTATATTGCTTGATTGGTGCTTGATTGGAAGAAGCAAGCATCAATTCATTCAGCAGACATGCTGAACAAAGCCAATGAATACCCTGATCAAACTCCCCCTTTAATGTGTGCCAGGGAATAACACAGCCTTCCCCAGTATGGGTGCTCTGCAGATGCATTGACTACAACGCTCAGCATGGTCAATGGGCAGAAATGCTTGGAGCTGTAGTGGTTGAATCAAAGCAGTGGTGCCTGCAAGGGTCAGACACCTGACTCGTGCTCAACGGAGATCCACATCTGGATTTTTATTCTTAATGGGAGGGTTAATGGGAGCAACTGATTGATGAATTCTGTGCCATTATCATCTGAACTGTCATACCACTTACTTCCCTTTTTTTAACAGAAAAACAGAAGTACAGTAGTGTAGTGGCCCCTGTCAACCCTACTAAGAATGTAGCACAATGTAAAGATGTAAAGATTAAACCCCTTTTATTTACCACTGCGTAACATCCATTCTTCCCAGTCTTGCATCATCCAGATGCTTTGGATGAACTTCCATCAGCTCCTAGGCAGAGTGATTAGAGGCCAAGAATGCTAAAGGATATAGTCCAAAACACCAGGTAGGGGAATTCTATCACTCTCAGATTTTTTTTTAAATCAATGGCTGGTGGAGGCTAGTAATGGGCTAGGTTAGCATTTCAGTGTAGAACTTGCGAGACCTAGATCCAACCCCCTACTAAATGCCTTCCTGTACACTGAGTATGAACAGTCACTATTTCTCAGCCTAACCTACCACAAAGGGTTGTTGTGAGAATAAAAGAAGAGACAAATATGTACACTCGCCCCAAGCTCTGCAAAGGAGAGCTGGGCAAAATACAATACATAAATATGTATTATAAATAAAGATAGCTTAGATGTCTATTTTCTGCTCATCCATATACTGGTTTGATCGAGTACCAACAAAAGCAGTCTTTGCAAAGCTGTGCGCGGACCGGCGTACCATTTCTAGACAAGAGAGGGGAATTTAAGGGAACGCGACTTGAGATACTTTCCTGCCCACTGAAACACACGTACGTACACGCCCTGATCATTTCCCCTCCCTCCTTCCCGCTGCCAAAGGGCTCTGACTCGCATTAAAATCGTGAACAGATTGTGTAGAAATCTGTCAGTAGATTTGCCCACATTTGCAGCATGATCCGGGTGCCAGCTCTGCGCCGGTTCCACGGCTGAATCGTGAGCTTGTTCCGTTGCAGCCGCTCCCCTTTCAGAGCCGGTCCTCCCATTTGCTCCGATTTCACCTCACCCCCTATCTTCTCACCCACCAGCCTCCATCCGCAAAACCCTCCCGTTATATCCGGCTCCGGTATTCACTGACAAGACATCCTATACACAAAGCAGGGACCATCCTCCAGCACTGGGCGGCTCCCTGCGCATTTCACATTCCCTACTGCATGCGCCAAGAAAACGCAGTTCAGCAGGAGGAAAGGGCGGCGGGCAGGATAGGTAGAGGAGTCAAAGCCGAAATCCTGCGGGGCAGGGGCAGCTCGTCTGCTCGCCGTTCACCACAAAAGCCATTCCGTATCCTGCTGTGGCTGATTCTGCCTGCGTCTGGACTTTGCAAAACGCTGCCCCCCGCCCCGATTTTCACCAAGCGAGAGCAGTGCAGCAAAATGGGAGAAGCACAGAAAATGATGATGATGATAATGAAGATGATGATGATGTCGCCGCGCCTTGCAAGGAAACAGAAACAGCCGCTCAAGCGTAGAGGAGGCGGCGGTAGCTGCAGCAGTAGCTGCGGCAGCAGAGTGGCAACTTACGGGTTCCGCCAAGACGTGGGTCTGTCTCGCTCGCTCGCTCGCTCGCGCTCGGTGCTCGGCTCGCGCTGCCGCTCCTGCACGCGCCGCTCTGAAAGCTGCCCTCGGCTGACGGCTGGAGCTGCAGCAGCAACGCGCGGGGAGGAGGGACGGCGGCGGCGGCAGCCGCAGCAGCAGCAGTTGGTTGGTTGGGGCGCAGAGGCGCCTCTCCGGTGACTCAGAGGCGGCCACAGCACCTGTGACCGCCTGTCACCCGGCAGCGCCCGCCCCCCGTGCCGCCTTCTCCTCCTCCTCCTCCTCCTCCTCCTCCTCCAGAGACTCGCAAGTGGTTGCGTCGCCCCCTGACGGGGAAAGCGCTGCATCCGCTTCCACGCTGGTCGGGAGAGAGACGGATAGATAGACAGACGCAGGCCGGCAGCAGAAGAGCAGCGGGAGAGCCTTGTCGCTCACCCCGCAGTACCAAAAGGTCCTGAAGGAATCGGGGTGGGAGGAGGAAGGCAGGGGCAAAAGGACTTCCCGCTCGGAGGCTGCTTAAGCAGGTCACGCGTCTTTCCAGACGCCCCCGCCGAGGAGCTTTTGTTTTCTTTTGTTGTTTTAACGCAGGCTGCCGCCCGGGGAGGAAACACACGCGTCTGTTGGAGGCTGGCAGGACAGGGGCAGCTCCACAGCTTCACGCCTGCCCCTCTACAAGGGACAGGCCAAAAAGGCGATGACGCCACTGGGCACGTTGCTGTGCTCTAGTGACGTCACTTATGCCTGGAAACGAGGGAAGGTGGGGGACAGAACTGGGTGAGGGCAAAACCTGTCATCCCCTCCTGGAGGCTGTGGGTAACAAGGATATTGAAGGGTCCAGACGTTGCACCTGGAAGGCCTTGTGACAGATAAGCTTTTCTGGGCATACTCTGATCCTTACTGTGCTTGCTATGTGACAGTACTTGATAGCTGATATGTAATGGTAGTAAAGGAATATTTACTTAATGGTGGAGGTGGAATTATGTTTACAGTTTTGTCACACAAAACAATGAAGTTTTTATTTAATGCCTGCCTGAATCAAAACCATCAAGTGATTCTAACAAGCCCAAAGCAGTTTAAAGTGCATGTGATTCTTGGCTTGTCTTAGATACACAACTTGCCTCATTCTATGGAAGCTACTTCTCCAGTTCAGATCTAAGTGATACAAGTTGCAACATAAAGTGGAGTAAGGGAAAGGTGAGTTCTGTGAATTTGCTTGTCCTTACATATTAGCCCATGAAGATGAAAGGCTTCCAGCTGAGTCGTGACTCATAAGTCTCAACAAGCATGTAGGAATAACATGATAACACTGCAGATTGCTCTGTTTAACTGCATTGCCACCACCCTGCTTTCTCTGATGAATTCTTTTATACAGCACTTTTGAGCCATTTGTTTACAGCATAAATTAGTAAATAAAGGAAGGCATCACCCCCAGGTATCATCATTTATTTACAGGTCAGGTTTGTACAGCTTCTTATGAAACACTATTACTCAAACACAAGGACACTTGATGAATTGCATTCATTCCCCCATTCCCACCCCCACACATGAACCTTATATAGATAATCTCCCTAAAGGGGGAAAATGATACCCAGCTCTACCTCTCGTTTTCCACCAATCCAGGTGAGGCAGTGGCTGTGCTGAACCGGTGCCTGGCCGAGGTAATGGGCTGGATGAGGGCCAATAAACTGAAGCTCAACCCAGACAAGACAGAGGTCCTGTTCGTTGGCGGATCGGGCTTCGGTGAGGGTGAATTGAACCTAGTCCTGAATGGGGTCGCACTCCCTCTTAGGGACAAGGTCCGCAGCTTGGGAGTGCTCCTCGACCCGGAGCTTTCATTGGAAGCTCAGGTGACAGCAGTGGCGAGGAGCGCTTTCCTTCAGCTTCGGCTGATCCATCAGCTGTGCCCCTACCTGGAGTACGACTGCCTGGCGACAGTGACACACGTGCTGGTGACTTCCCGCCTTGACTTCTATAACACGCTGTACGTGGGGCGACCCTTGAAGACGGACCAATACTTCAATTGGTTCAAAATAGAGCTGCCAGGCTGCTGACGGGGACTGGGCGTTAAGTTCACATGACTCCAGTCCTCCGTCAGCTTCACTGGCTTCCCATTGAAGTCCGGGCCCAATTCAAGGTGTTGGTGATGACCTATAAAGCCCTAAACAGCTTGGGTCCTGGTTACCTGAAGGAGCGCTTACATCCATATACGCCCGCCCGCCCGCCCCTTGAGATCTGCGGAAGAGGCCCTTCTCCGGAACCCTCCGTGAAAGAAATTAGGAGGGTAGGTACTCGGAGGAGGGCTTTCTCTGCGGTGGCGCCCAATCTATGGAATGCGCTCCTCAGAGAGGTCCGCCTGGTGCCGTCGTTACTTGTATTTCGGCACCAGGCAAAGACCTTTTTATTTAAACGTCATTTTAATTGTTAATATTATTTGCTTATTTTATCTGGCCAGGGCAACTTATTTTATATTGTTAATTTGTTTTGAATGTATTATATTTTAATTTATGTTGTGAGCCGCCCTGAGGCTTCGGCGAATAGGGCGGCATAGAAATGTTTTAAATAAATAAATAAAAATATATGCTGTAATACTTAAAGTACAGCATGTGAGGATGGTTTGTAGCTTGCTATGAATATGCAGACCAAGCTCTCAAAGATGTTAAAGCTGCTCAGTTTGTGAAGTCGCAGCAAACACCCCAAATCTCATGCTATTGTGTGCTTCCAAAAAGAAGAGGCTACAGCTTCTTCGTGTAATTGTAAATGCACTTTTTTCATTTGTCTAATCTTCCTTCTGCATTCGTAGGTAGAAATGGTATAGCAGCTGGGAACCAGCACCCTGGAAAGGCCTGCCACTGATGGCTGCCAGAAGCCCTTCTTGAAAATAAGTTTTCTTTGCCTAGCATTCCAAGCAGCACTTTGCAGCTGGGTCAGCCACCATTTTATTTCCAACATTGTCCCAGAGTGATTCTACACTGGGAGCATTATGGGAAATCAGAATACCAGCTAGATCCGGTGACCTAGTGGTACTGAGGTTGCTGCTGCTGTCCGAGTTACGGTACTTCCTGCTGCCAACAGGTAAGACTCCAGGATGTACCAAGAAAAGAGCAGGGCCACTGTAGGGCACTTTGTCAAGAACTTTTTCATATCTGGAGCTAGTCCTGGTGATATAGTATTTTCACAGGATAGGATATAAATGGAGGAACTGGAGCTTTGTCCATTTTAGCAGTAATCAAAAGCTGGGAAGCACATTAATAGGGATGGTTTTGTTGAGTTTCTGTTTGTTGCATTTAGCAGAGATGTTCATTTTAGCACTGGATAATGCAGCCTTCTCAAAATGGATTTACAAGAACATAGAAAAAGAGAGGAGAACTGTGGGGAAAAGAAGAGGTATGTATTTAGGTCAAGGGTGATGAACTTTTTCAGTTCGAAGACCAAATCCTGCTTTGGAGAAGCACTCAGGGGCTGAATTTAAGATGGGTAGGGCCAAAAGAGAAGTAGGTCAAGCTAAAAATGACAGCCTATGCATGTCTATTCAGGATTAAGTCCCAGCGTACCAGGTTTTACACATGCAACATACTGCTAAATTTTAAATTTTAAAGATGCTTAAAGTTTAAATATCCAGCAAGTATTGCTGGGTAGAGAAGATGCTAAGTGGGCCAGATGCAGAACTTCCATGGTTGGATATATCTTGTGGGCTGGAGGTTCCCCACCCCTGCTATAGGCAGGAGAAGTTGCAGCTCTGGTGCTCAAGTCTTTGCTTTAAGTGACTAAACAAGCCCTCCTAAGTGGTTAAGTGAAGAAACACCCCTCTAAAGCAAGGGTGGACAATATAGGCTGAAGTTTCTTTGAGAGAGGATATCTGGATTCACACAGCAACTAATGCATAGTCCACCCCTTTTTATGACCTCAGCTGCCTCCAAATCACCACCAAACTGCTAAATGACTTCGAATTTCTGTGGTGCTCAGTGGTAAGAAAAAGCTGCATGTTTCCCTCCAGGTCTTTCAAGACTGCACCTCTGACATGCCTTATTTTAAAGTGTAAATGCACCTTCCTGTGTGCAGCAGAAATCTGGCAGTGGCATTTTTGATGCCAATGGGGTGGTGGGGGGGTGAGGTGTAAACCTCCCACTGGAGTTCATGAAGTTACAATCAATCTCTAGACTCTCCAAAGTTGCCTACTTGTACTCTAAAGGTTTTTAATGGAAATAAAATATATAAATATCCATTAACATTTAGAAATTATTCTGAGTTGTGTTATTGATTGCTAAGGATGTCATTGGCATCCCACAAAGCATCCTAACTCATATTGCAAATACTATTGAGAAAGGCAGAGTTGATTGGAACTGCACAGTTCATACTGCAAGCTGTTGTAGTGGAAATTATTTGCTTTGCATCTGTATCAGAAGTTTCTTCAAGAGAAGGCATCTGGATTCACACAGCAACTAACAGCTGTGCGACCTTGAGGACTGGTGTTGGAGCCTTCCTACAACTGAGTAATGTCTTTACATTTTTACTGTTAAATCAGTTATCTGGAAAGGCCCTAAAATGTCTTTTAAACTGGAATATGTCATTTATTAATGTTGTTGATATGTTATATAGAACATGGAAGAAAGACTACTTTAAATTATATATAAATTCTGGTCAATATGTGTTGGATCTAGAATAAATTAGTTGCACTTAGACCCTCTTGGAGGCCATGTGGCTTGATTCAGATAAGACTAACTTTTCACATTACTTCAATGGGACCGAAGTGTGACTGACTTAGTCTGGATTCAACCCTATGTGTTTTTCATTACCATTATAGATGTTTATTGCCAGAGAACAATGTTTGGCTGCATCCCTCTTGATGAGCACTTTTCCTAAAGAACATATATTTTATCAGGAAGTCTAGAAAGGATCTAGTGAGCTTGGACTAAATGCATTTAAAAGTTTCTCACTGAAATCCTCTATTGGACTAGGGAGCATCCACACCTTTTAATACACTGCTGTGGGATTTCCTGAAATTCCAGCTCTTTCATTTGTATTCAAAGGTTATAGCTAACCCCAAAATCCTGAAGTCAGAATGAGTTCTTTTCCTAAGTGACATCTGGAAGAACCTCAGCTTGATTAACCTTCAGAACACCCAGTCAAGTAACTGGCCCTGCACCTCTTGGGACACGATCCAGTCATGATGATGGTCAGCCTTTG